ATAATTATTACACACAGCAGCACATACACATAGTCCAAACCCATTTTCTTTTTTTTTTATTTTCTTTCTTTATTTATTCTTTTAATCATCTTTTGCACCCCACTCACTGCCTCCCTCAACAAACATAGCATACTTTATTTATTTATCTTCTCTTTCTTGTGTTCCATTTTTCACCCAAAAAAAAAAAAAAAAAAAAAAAAAACAACATTCATCATTCCACAAAACTATTTATTTCTATCGGGTCTTCGCCCTGATCATAATTTTACACAAAAAAAAAAAAAAAAAAAAAAAAAAAAAACAAACAAACAAACAACAAAACAAATCGACACCCAAACAAACAACAAACCAACCACATCCACCGGGATTTTTACTCTCTCTATCTCTGCCGCCGGTCTCTTCTTCTTGCCTCCATCATGGGCGTCCTTGCCGTGTTGCCTCCGTGTTTCCCACTCACTGGGCATGACCACTATTCCTTGCTCCTCCACTGCAGCATATGGCGGCCCTCCAAATCGGAACATCACGGTGGCCTTCCGCTTCAGCTCCTTGTTTTCTGCCCTTAGCACGCTATCTCTGCTCGCGCATCCTTATACATGCGTTGAGACAGAGCCAGCTGGGAGTTTAACTGTTGCACCTCATTTGTCCTACTCTGAGCCGGTGCGACAGATTTGTGACCGCCGTCATGGACTCCACACATGCCTTCAAACGTATACTGATTGGTCCACATCCGTTTGCACTGCCATTTTTTGCTCCACCGACTGCATCGGAAAGTTCAACGGAGCAAACCCAGTGGTGTAGTTGAGGTTCACGGGACACCGCACCAGTTCTCTCTCTGTGGACTCGTTGAGTCGGGAAGAGAGTGAGCAGCCCACGGGACGACGAAGCCATTTTCTCTCGCAACAGAGTGTTACAGCCTCTCTCTCTCAGCACAACAGTGTTACAGCCTCTCTCTCTCAGCACAACGCAGAATTCTTCAGAGGTTTCTCTCAGTTTCTTGTCTCAGCCTCTGCCTCGGCTCAGCTCCGTCTTGGTTAAATAGCCGAGGCAGCCACGCGCATTGCGCGCTCTTCTCGCCGACAAACTGGCACGCCTTTTCATGGCACGCCTTTTGATGCATTCGGCACGCCTTTTGATGGACGCCTTTTGAGGTGCGGGCACACCTTTTGAGGGCACGACTTTTGAGGGCTCGATATCTAATCCATGATATATCTTTTGGGCAGCCTATATACACACTCATACAGTATCTTCTACACCGGTCAGCTTTATCAATCCCTTTGTTTCAACCTCAAATAGGTTTCTATCTTCACACCTATTTGAGTTTGAGGGGGGTATACACAGTAATTGTATAAGTCGGTCATGGCGCACTCCTAAGTCGCCCTTGGTGCACCACCACAACTCATTCTACAACGGTCCGACATGACCCCGTAAACTGTCTCTCTACACGGTCCGACATGACCCGTAAACTGTCCTGCTACATCGGTCCACATGACCCGTAAACTGTCTTCTACAACGGTCCGACATGACCCCATAAACTGTCTTCTACAACGGTCTGACACGACACCACACAGTTCTAGCTACATCGGTCCGACATGACCCCGTAAACTGTCTTCTACAACGGTCGACATGACCCGTAAACTGTCCTACTACATCGGTCCGACATGACCCCGTAACGTCTTCTACAACGGTCCGACATGACCCCGTAAACTGTCTTTTACAACGGTCCGACATGACCCCGTAAACTGTCTGCTCCAACGGTCCGACATGACCCCATAAATGTCTTCTACATCGGGTCACCGACCACACATGTCTTCTACAACGGTCCGACATGACCCCGTAAACTGTCTGCTACAACGGTCCGACATGACCCCGTAAACTGTCTGTACAACGGTCCGACACGACCATACCGTGTCTCCTATCCTGTTTTGTTTTTTATTTATCAGTTTACTTTTCTGTTTTGTTACTCTCTTCAAACTCAAGTTGGTTAGTTCCTATCCTCCTTGAGTTTGAGGGGGCTGTTTAATGTACACTAAACCTAACCCCACTAAACCTAACACACTTACCATCTCCACTACCACCCACCACCTCACTACCATCCACTACCACCACTCACTTACCCACACCTCTCCTATATAATAGCTTGTAACATACAATACAGATACACATCAATCTTGTATCATCAACAAATCAGTCAATAATATACTTCATTTTATTTTTACAATCACTAACATGCCATTGAAATCCAAAAGCAAAAATTGATTTCATTTCTAGTTCTCAAACCTGAAATTCAGTGAAATCCACGTTCTTGTTTCAACACCTCATTCTGGTTTAGTTCTCAACTTCATGCCACTGAAGCTGACATAAGAATGTTGTTCGCTCAATGATGACCTTGCTCGATGACTCCTACCATGAAGTGATTTGGTTCTCAAACGGTGACAGATCTGTTTCTTCGCAGTAGAGATCTCTCTTGCCATTTTATGTCTTGTTCTCTTTGCAATTTCTCAGCTTTCCTCCATTAATACATTCAAACTTGAGAATGTGCCGTTTTTGAGATTAATCAGAGATGATGTTGGTGCTCTTCTTGGCATAAAACAGATAGCAATTTGTTATGGTTCAATTAGAAGACATGGAAGAGACAAACTGCATTGTGTTAGGGCTAAGCTAATACAAAAAATGAGGATAGTTTTGTCATTTCAATTTAAACGCAAAAAATATATACCTGCAAAAAAGTAATTTCATATATTTGTATGTTACTATGTTTATTTACATTGTTATTAGAGGGGAGGTTTGTTGTAATTATTGCCAAAACTATGGGATTTGCTTCTTTTTTTTTTTCTCTTTTTCCCCAGAACTTGGAGGTCAGTGTAATGTACGCTTTATTATATTTAAATCACAAATTGTTTAATTTCTGATGTATGCAATAACATGGCCAAGTCAGTGGACTCTAAATTCTCTACTTACTATTCATAGTTGGATTTAATTTTGGTCAAGTGATTTTGAAAATTATGTTTTGATTCCCTTTTAGGAAGAATCAAAAAGTGCAGGGGATGCTCATCGCCCCTACTAGATAACATAGGTCCAGATCATACTAACAGAATTGGTAACCTGAAAGAGGAATGTCAGAGAAATTTGATTTTCAAGAAGAGGACCAATATAATATTCAGGGTGGAGGTCGGCAGGTGTTATTGATTGTTTTTTTTTTTTTTTTTTATATATATTACGAAAAATAAAATAAAAGAAAGAAAAGGAAAGTGGGGCGTGGATGAGTGGGGATAAGATGTGATAATGAGGACGAAAAATAAAATAAAATAAAAGGAAAAGGAAAGTGGGGTGGTGGATGAGTGGGAATAATATTTTATAAGAAGAGAGAGAGAGAGGGGAGGTTTCTGTCTTGGAATCAAAGTGTTCTTCTTTGTGGTGGGTCTGTGAAGATGTCCATTTGGTGCTGTGAGACTGCCTCTGTAATGCAGTGTGGTAATTTCACTCGAGAAGCAACAATAGAGGAGAGAGGAGGAGATTGCCGACGATGTGGAGTCGGTGGCGGAGGAGGAAGAGCGAAGACGACATCGGCGACGATGGAGGGACGGCGACCATCGGCGGCGACAGAGAGCACAAATTCCTTTGATATCAGGGAGAGGAACGTCGGGTTGAAGCCTCCGAGGGCGATGTCGTCGACGGTGAGGTAGGGCAGCGGCGGTGGGGAAACGGATGAGGGCGAGGGACCAGAGAAGGGTTTGTCCAGCGGTTCTCCAGAATGGTCCACCGGAGAGCTCGTCTGATGATGGATCGCCCTGGTACAAAGATCACCAAAAATCTGAGTTTGGATTGGAGACTGGTCACTGTAAGGTGTTTATGGAATCAGAGGATGTGGGTCGGACCCTTGACCTCTCAGCCCTTGGATCATACGAAGAGCTTTACAGAAATCTGGCCAACTTGTTGGGCATAGAAAGATCAGGGATGTTGAGCCACGTGCTCTACCGGGATGCTGCCGGTGCCATTAAACACACTGGAGACAAACCCTTCAGGTAAATCATATACAGAAAAATTAATGACAATAACAAGTACACAACCAATATCTTCTGTTAAAGACCGTGTGGAATATTAAACACGGTTCATTTTGGGTTGATGATTGAACTGGTAAGGTCGGGGTCCGGCAGGCGGTGAAGGCAAGGTCGCCGCCCGCCGGAAGGTGAAGATCACCAAGAGCTAACCTATAGCTCTGATACCATGTAAAATAAAATGAAGTATATTATTGATTGATTTGTTGATGATACAAGATTGATGTGTTTCTGTATTGTATGTTACAAGCTATTATATAGGAGAGGTGTGAGGTAAGTGAGTGGTGGTAGTGGATGGTAGTGGAGGTGGTGGGTGGTAGTGGAGATGGTAAGTGTGTTAGGTTTAGTGGGGTGGATGTAGTGGGTTAGGTTAGTGGGTTAGGTTTAGTGTACATTAACATATGCAATTTACATATATATGGATGCACAAGTAATAACAGCCAATACCCTCTTTGTGTACATAATACATATACGTCATGTTCGTTTGGATGGACATGAACTTGGGATTGGATTAATAGTCCAATGAAATTATTAATCCGATATTTGGTTAAACAATTGAAGTACGGATTAACAATCTATCCGAATATAATATCCCACATATGATGGACTATTCAATCCCATAAAGAGGAGTGGGATATAAATTGGAGGACTAAGCCAAAGTCTGAACTATTAGTCACTCCTTATAATTCCAACTTAATTCAAACATATAATAGGATACACAATCCAAATGGATTCGTAGTCCTAGGACTATTAGTTATGGGAATGCTAATCCAACCTAATTCAGTCCGCCCAAACATGGCCATAGGTTAATATGATATGATAATATGCTTCTCAGTTCTCAATGTATCAACAAGAGCTCTGGTGATATTAATTATTTCTCATTTTTACAATTGATTTGAAGAGAAGAGGGTAAGGAGAAGCTGTATCATGCAACGTTGCGATTAACAATTCAATATGCTTTATCATAGCATGTAATAGATGGTGTGTTTGAACCTCAATGCTTATTCGATAATTAAAAAGAAATATTTACATGTAATAGATGGTGTGTTTGAACCTCAACACTTATTTGATAATTAAAAAAATATATATTTACACGTATTTGACTTACTTATATGTTTCGAAAAAATATTTGTTACTCAAAAATCATCTTATCCTCCCACCTAACGGACTTGCCAACTTATCAGATATAGAAGAACATTTGCCACTGAGACTCTAAGATTCTATAGGACCAAAAGGATGCTTTGGCTATTCTCATCAATAGATGCATAATAAAATGTAGTAGTACTAGTGTGTCTTCATTTGAAGAGAAAAAATTCGAGAAAGTGAAACAGTAATTAAAAATGTGAAACTTAAAAACCTTATGTAATTTTTGGTACAACATACGGTAAGTTGGTAGTAGTGCTGCTCACAATCTCTCTTTTTTCTTAAAGGTTAAAAAAAGATAAGACAAAACGACTAACGGGTGCTACTCTCTTTTTAATTACTGTAAACTCTTCCCATTAAGAGAACCTATAGTTGTGTGTGGCACTAACATTTCTTTTTTCACATCTTTGATTCAGTTAAGTAACTTGAAAAAGAAGATTTAAGCTTTTCCTTTTAAGAGAATCTAATCCCAAAGTATTTGGTTGAATGAAAGAGACCAGAGTGAATATCTTCACCTTCATATGTATAATTACTTTTTGCATGATTTATTCTAGAGGAGCCATATTTTCAACAGTCAGGTCCCATAAGTTTCTATAGTAAGAAGACAGTACTGCCCCCTAATCAAATGTGATCAACAAACATAGATTTTATATTGCAAATCCTAATATTATGAGTCTTTTGGTTTGTAATGAATGGATATAATATGTCACATCATTTTGTGAAGATTTCCTGTGTAATTTTTCTATTCAATACCCAATTTACAACCTAAGATCATATCCTCAGCTCAGATCATCCCTTGTTCAATTGTCCCAATTAGGAAAAAAAATACTCCATCACACAATGGGTCTTTAGGACCATATATTGTGTAGTGGAGAGTGGCTTTGAGGCAAGTGGAGTAATATCATGTATGGTGAAGAGAGGCCTCAAGTCAAGCGAAAAGAAAAATTCGAACAAAAAGTATTTGCCCATTTGTAACCTCTTAACTAAGGGCAAATAGGACTTTTCACATCCCCTGCGTCCTTCTAATTCCAAGTGTGCTCCCACCAGATATCTGAAAGGAATCCCCACCCCCCCTCCCCCCACAGGCTTGGCGAAATTAATGAAAAGCATAAAGTTTCCAGAACCGCAACTTGGTTGCATGAGACAAACCACATTTTGGCAATTATTGGATGCACCCACATTTAAGACAGTTTAGTACCAACAGTTTTGACATATTGGAACAAATTAACTTACTTGTAAATCAATACTACATAACTTCTTGTATTGCTAACTTTGATTCACCATATATATATGCGTTTTGAGGTCTATTTATGGCAGTTTACTAACAAAAGTGTGAATATTCACATTATGGTAATGAGCATAGTGAAAACGTATTCACCATTCAATATTATATGGGTGTGTAAATAATATTAATACCAACTGACAACACAATGACAAATTTTCATTTCAAATTAATGTAAATATAATGACAGTTAACATCCTGATGCATGAGAACGACCAAAACATAATGACAATCAATATCTATGTTTATTTTTTTTGTGTGTAATACATATCAACATTAAATATAAGAGTATAAAAGTCTAAAAAAATAGTGTAAATTAAGAAAAACGACATTATGGAATAAAAATATAAATACATGGGACTAAGTGGGTTATAAATTTTTTTCATAGACGTCTTGGGTTAGAACACTCCTAAATGGGATTTACCAATATAAATCCCTTAAAAAAAACATGTTAATCCTTATTTTCAAATACAATGTTATTAATAAAGAGTTAATTACCAAAAAGTCCTGTTTACATATTTGGTGGTAGCTTAGGTCCTGTCAAAAAGTTTTTGAACCAATAAGTCCTATTTATAGGTAAAAAGACGTTTTGTCCTTTAATCCCAAAACTGAGAATGTTCTCAATTTTAAAACTGAGAATATTTCAATTTTCAAACAGAGAATGATTTCAGTTTATAATTATCAAAATTAAAAAATTTATGTTTGGCTTCTAAGAAAAGTATGGGATTGAAAAGAAAGGTAATTCTGCGAATATTCTAAGAAATTTATAATTATCAATTTTGAGAAATTTCTCAATTTTTTCATGATTAAAATTGAGAATATTATAAACTGAGAAGGTTCTCAATTTTAAAAAACTCTCTCTCTCTCTCTCTTTCAATCTCTTAATTGGTTCTCTCGTCTCAGCTATTCCGTCTGTTTTTCCAGTAAAAAACGAAAAAAAAAATTGAGATTTGTATTTAGATTTTTGGGTGTAGATGGTGTAATGGAACTCTCATCAACAATAATCGTTACATTGAGGTAAAGACAAACAGCATTTCGTCATCTTCTATTTAACTCTCATCAGCCATTTTTATGGTTGTTAATGGCCGAAACAGAGCAATAATGGACTCATCAGAGAGACCCCATCGCAATGCCAGCACAAGCAGTACCAGTGAACTCTTCATCTGCTTTACCTCTCGCCTCTCCACTTCTTCTTCCCCGTCCATGAAGATCTCTTCCAAGTCAATCCTCAGCCTAGGCCGCGCTCGCGACGCATCCGTCTCTCTCTCCACCTCTCTCAGCCGCCGACTCAGAACAAACGGCAGCCTCAAAGGCGGCCAATCTCCCATGTTCCCCACTGGAGCCAAGAAACGAGGTTGCGCTTTCGAAAACCCAGAGCCTTTTTCTCCCAAAGTCACCTATATTGGGCAAGTTCGAGTGAAGACGAAGAAACAGGGGAAGAAGATGAGGTTGTTTGGATGGGTAAAGTGGTCTATTAAAAATTAATGGGACTTGAATGAGCAAATAATTTTATCTAGGACCTAATGGAGTATAAGTTCATAAAATGGGACTTGTATGTAAATGCCCCATTAATAAAACACTCTGCTGGACTGTTACAACAACTTTAACTTAATATATGGAATTTTTGGCATATAATTAAATACTTGATTTAGATTTAACCTAAACAAAATTATTTATTGATTTCCTAAAACCATCTTTATATCAATCCAATTTTTAAAAACATGCAAAAATGCTTTTTGTATTTAGAAGACAACTACGATTTACAATAAAATTGTGTAAAGGGTAATATAATCACTCATCATTTAAAAGGCCAAGCAACTTCTTTAACTGACTATCTATTTTTAAAATTATAGTTTTTTCTTTTTTTATTTATAAAAGAAAACAAATATTATAAAATTATTTGATTGCACTTATCATATCTATTTTTAAAATTATCATTTTCATCTGTGTTATTTATAAAAGAAAACAAATATTATAAAATTATTTGATTATACTTATCATGTGCGGCATATCGCTTTTATGCTTTGGAGGGAAAAAAGATTCAAAGGTAAAGAAATTTAGAAATTAGATGAAGATACCTTACTTCCTTCCGACCCTCTATCCAAACAAAATTATTTTTTTTTCATTCGGGAGGGGGGGTGAAAATTTGTGATACGACTTGAACCGTATATAAAATTAGTAGATTAAGATTGATCATTTTTCCGTACAAATATGTATATAATATGTCTCGAAAACACGAATATTAAACAAATCGAATTAGTGTCTAATTTATATAATACAAAATTGATATGAATAGTTCATATAATAAAAACTTAATTATACATTTTGATATTATTTTTAGTAAAGAGTATCGTAACATTTTTTAATGTATTATATAATTACATCAAATTTATTAAAAAAATATGTAAAATGCAATTTTAAGTTTAATGTAGGTTTTGTTTTTGTTCTTAATTGAACTTGACGTATTTTTTTGTCTATTATCTGAGTTAATTTAGTAAAAAATAAAATAATAAAATTGAATTTTTATAAATTAAGAAAATAA